GTTGTAAACACGGCGACGTAAACATTTTCTGTGGAGATGTGAATGACAATATGAAATACAGACAATGCATTTATATATGTTAACTGTGATTTTTCTGCTTCATCGATGTAGAGTTTTTTGGTAAAAGACATAATGGAGGTGAATGGCTTCCACTGTGACGGCGAGGGATGTGCGGAGGAGCAAGAGGAAGAACCGACAGCGCTCAGGCTGCCTCGATCAAAGACGGAAACGTCATGTAGCATAATTGCTACACCGGGTGCAGACAGCGCAGCGGCCGGCGGCAGTGCACTCCGAGAGCAGCGGGTGTCAAAATCGACACCGGCGATGCTGAGGCTCGATTCGCTGAAAAAGAACAGGCCGCGTAGGTGAACCATCTTGTTATAGCGCTAGGTAACAGGGTTAACGGAGCTGATGCCACAGTGAAATCAGTGATAAAATGTCAGATATAACGTTATATAAATTAAACCAACAGTCATACGTTTTATAGCAATTTTTGTCCCATTTTTTGCGCTCGCGGTTGGCATCATACTATTGACTAATATGCAAAACATAATATACACTATACACTTAAATGTTTAGACGATAGATAACATTTAGCATTAAACATAATACAATTCATATATTTACTTATGGTATAGCAGTAATACTAAAGCCTAATTTACAGATGATGAATTTAATAAGCACTTAAGATTTTCTTCAGGAATCTTATATATCAAAAGGCGACCCAGCACTGTACAATGGTACAGAGTAATAACGTTTTATAACCAAAAATGTAATACTTAAGTGTGTGACACATTTTATTTTTACAAATTTTGTCGTGTTGACTTATTCTTCAAACGCAACCATTTGCGAAGTCATGGCCTAATGGTTAGAGAGTCGGACTCATAACCCAAAGGTTGCGGGTTCGAGTCTCGTACCGGCAGGGATTGTAGGAAGGCACCGAACCCCCAACTGCTCCGCGGGCGCCGCAGCATAAATGGCTGCCCACTGCTCCGGGTGTGTGTTCACGGTGTGTGTGTGTGTTCACTGCTGTGTGTGTGCACTAAGGATGGGTTAAATGCAGAGCACTAATTCCGAGTATGGGTTACCATACTTGGCCACATGTCACGTCACTCACTCACTTATTCAATCATGCTAACGTTACTCAAGTTATTGTGCAAGGAACAAATATTTATTTTTGATTAATGAGAAATGTTTTTCTCGAAATTACTTAAAACACTATTGTGTATTTGAATTAACTCTGTTACCTTTTATTTTTTAATGTATTATACATTTTGTCCCATTTTACTTACAGGGCTGAAAATGTGCCAACCTCAATGAAAATTACAGAAAATAAAACGGCTCATATGTAGTTAACAGTGAACTTTTTCCTAAAAAAGTGAAATGAGCTTACTCACAGAAAATGTTTAGAAAATGCACAAAGTATTGAAGTCACTTCACTATTATTGGTCCCCAGCTTTCCCATGGTTTGGCATGGACATTGGTGGCACATTGGTGAAGCTGGTCTACTTTGAGCCCAAAGACATTACAGCAGAAGAAGAACAGGAGGAGGTGGATAGTCTGAAAAGCATCCGCCGCTTCCTCACCTCACACACCGCCTATGGCAAAACAGGTATACGAGATGTTCACCTGGAGCTCTCTGACCTCACACTTTGGGGCCGCAAGGGCAACCTGCACTTCATCCGCTTTCCCACGCACGAGCTGCCTGCCTTCCTGCAGATGGGCCGAGACAAGCATTTCTCCAGTCTGCACACAACCCTCTGTGCCACTGGAGGTGGTGCATTTAAATATGAAGATGGCTTCCGTACGGTGTGTCCAAGCTCACATTGCTGCAATTATATATATTATTTTATGTGATCTGTTTAAAGGAATAGATAGACCAAAAATGAAATGATGGCCTCAATCTGATCAAGATGTAGATGAGTTTGTTTCTTCATCGGAACAGATTTGGAGAAATTTTGCATTACATCACTTGCTCACCAATGGATCCTCTGCAGTGAATGGGTGCCATGAGAATGAGAGTCCAGACAGCTGATAAAAACATCCACAAGTAATCCACACGACTTTAGCCCATCAATTAACATCTTGTGAAGTGAAAATCCATCATTAAGATGTTTTAATTTTATAACACTTAACAACCAAACTAAAATACGATTCCATAATCCAGAATTATGATGTTTTTATCAGCTGTTTGGACTCTTATTCTTACGGCACCCAGGATCCAATGGTGAGCAAGTGATGTAATGGTACATTTCTCCACATCTGTACCTATTTAAGAAACTCATCTACATCTTAAATGGTCTGAAGGTGATTTTTGGTGAACTATTCTTTTAACTAATTGGTTCTCTATGCTGTCTTTCCTCTCTTAGATGGCCAATCTGCAGCTGTTGAAGCTGGATGAGCTTGAATGCCTGATAAAGGGGGTTCTGTACATTGACTCAGTGGTCTCAAGTGGTCCACCTGAATGTTACTATTTTGAACATCCAACAGACCCTGAGCGCTGCGAGCAGAAGGCATACAACCTGGAGAACCCCTATCCTCTGCTGCTTGTCAACATCGGCTCTGGTGTCAGCATACTGGCTGTATACTCCAAAGACAGCTACAAGCGTGTTACTGGAACCAGGTTGGTCATGACTTAATAATATTGCAACAGTTTAACAAAATAAATGGGCATTTTACTGTAAAGCTATAGTAATATTTTCTGTCTCCCCTTTAGTCTTGGTGGTGGTACATTCCTTGGGCTTTGTTGCCTGTTGACTGGATGCTCCACCTTTGAGGAGGCATTGGCAATGGCCACAGAAGGGGAAAGTACACGTGTAGATAAACTAGTCAAGGACATCTATGGTGGCGACTATGAACGATTTGGCTTGCCAGGATGGGCTGTTGCCTCCAGGTACAGGCATATACACTAGCTTGAAAATTTTGGGTCTTTTTTAATGTTCTTAAATCAATCCAAATGAATTTAGGATTCTTTGATGAACAGAATAGAAAACTTTTGTATCATCACAGATGTTTTTTCGGATACTTTTGATTAATTTAATGCATCCTTGATGATTAAAATTGTTAATTTTTTTTTACTTCTAACCCCAAATTATATCTAAACAATTACATTGTTATTCCTTATATGACACTGTTATCATTTTAAAATGGTTCTGTAATGACACTGATAATAGACGTGAATCAGTTTAATCAATATAATGTATGTGTATTTTCTTTTGTAGCTTTGGGAGCATGATGTGCAAGGAGAAGAGAGACTCGGTCTCCAAGGAGGATCTGGCTAGAGCAACACTTGTCACCATCACCAACAACATTGGCTCAATCACGCGCATGTGTGCACTTAACGAGGTACACGTGCACATCCACACTTTAAATCACCAGTATGTTGTCCTTGCCCTTGTCTGTCAGCCTCTTTACGGTGCTGCCTTGTGGAATCTGGATCAAGCAGCATTGTACAGGGCTATGAGAGACCAGGCGCCAATCAGCTCCTTGGAAACTCCTCTTAAAAGAATGACATTTTCAGAATCAATGCTCATTATGAGTTTCTTCCATTTAGAACATTGAAAGAGTGGTATTTGTTGGGAACTTTCTGCGAGTGAACACATTATCCATGAAGCTGCTCGCTTATGCTTTGGACTACTGGAGCAAAGGACAACTCAAAGCCCTGTTCCTGCGACATGAGGTGTGTGTGAGTCTTTGTAATTCCTCCAAAGCTAAACAATATCTGAACAAATCACTTCAAGTCATTTTATTTGTGTTTTTCAGGGTTATTTTGGTGCGGTTGGTGCACTTTTGGAGTTACCAAACCCATCCTGATCTGCTACTCAATCTTAGTTCACAGCTTTTACCAAAAGACAGAAATATTTATGCAAACAGACCAAAATTGCCTTCAAATATCAGACCATGCCCTCAACTATGCAGACCAAGCTCTGACATCTTATTAATACCAAAACTATTACTATAATAACATCTCTTAAAAATATGCTATACAGTCAGGTTAAACAATCAGAATTAACTACATCATGCCTATACTAGTTTAAGGAATTACTGCAAACATCAGAACTGTTTAGAGCCTTTAACTTTTGAAAACAGTCAACCACTTGATATGAGAATAAGCCAGCAAGATCTGATACTATACATAGCTTAAATCACAACCACGTGATTAGACATCATTTATAATGTGTCAGCTGTCATCTTATACTGTACTATCATTACTGGTTATGAACTGATATTGCATCAAGCAGAAGAACAGTGACTGAAACTTGTATTGTTTATGGTTGCTAGTGACAGTAATCATTATGGTACATTGCACTATTTTTGGGGCACAGACATCATTTACTCAAAAGCAAGCTGATCAGTCAAGCACTTTGCTCATTTTGCTCTCTTGTATATGTAACTGATGCAACATAAATGCGAAATTACTTAATATATTTTTTGTTGTAGATGTCGCAGTGAGTTCAGAATCAGAATTTCATAAATGTTATGTAGCTCATATTATGTTTGTAAAGAAACAGTGGTGTTTTGACAATTATTGCATAACGGTGTGAGAGAGAGAAAGGGACCAGGCAAAACTTTGACCTATTTTCAGGGAGGGGAACAAAAACTTTTACACTATGGATAAATCTCCTCCTCAAACCTGAGAACTGTTTTTTCTTCTTCTTTGGAATAACTTTGGTGTCCCTGTTGCATAAACCAACACTGAAACAACATGTGTTCTGTTGCCTTCTCTTTATAGTCTGTGTACCTTACTTGCTCATTGCTCAAGTCAGTATAAATAATCAGTTTGTTCCTACACCAGCAAATAAGAAGTGCCTTGCGTTTTGTTTTTAAAACATGGAAAACAAGTATTGTTCTTCAACAAAAGCGCCTTTGTAATAAAATATATAAATCACTATAAAAAGCCTTCTTCGTGCTTTCGACATGCAGAAACAATGACTTGATTCATTAAAATCTGATATTTTAACAGTGGCACGTTATTTTTTTATTTACATATTCCAGCAAATTTCACGAAGCTCAGAATCCCCCAGCATGTCTTTTTACAAACGTAGTACGTGCCTGAGCAGAAGAAAGTTCCGTTATGCAAGTAGGAAAATCTTTTCCTGAACTGTGAAAGGGCTATGTGTTTTTCCTAAAATAAATCCTGCCCCTTTTCATTCGTGTGAAGTCGTCCACGAATCAGCTCCACCTCTCCCTGTGCCCCGTCTCCCATCGCTCTCTCTCCCACCCGCACGACTGTCTAGCTGGCAATTCACTGCCGTTACAGCCCGTTATCTCTGCTGCTCATTAGACGCTTTTCTTTGCTTCGTACAAGGTCTGGGTTCTGCAGCAGGTACTCAAGTCTTTTCTGAATGCTTTTCTGGTTCTGTGCATAAATATAAACTGCATGAAACTGTGTGCCAAGACTGTGGAGAGACCGCTTAACTTGAGGTAAGGGGGGGAAATTATGATTTTTATTCCTCTGAGTATATTATTGAATAGTTTGATCTTTTTCGCAAAAGTGTCATAAATATTGTTGAATAGAGTAACGTTAACGGTATTTACTTGCACAGATATGATCTGAGATAAAGCAGCTGGACGCCAAGGAGCCTACACTTCCTCTATCACGTCCCTTTATTCCTCTCAGTTTTACAGTGAAGCTAATAAATGATGTCAAAGCATTTGCAACAGTTTTATGTTTTAAATAACACTGACATCATTATTAAAACACTATTAGAGTTTTGTCGGAAGTTCCTTGTTCTCCTCCCCAACAGCAGTCTTCAACTCTCCAGAGAAGCTAATACATAAGTAAATAAACATCGGTTTGCATTTTGCCCTTACATGTTTATTAACCTGATGTTTGATAGTGAATTTACCTTGTGGGGTCCAGACCTGTCTGTGTCTCGCCGTTACCTCAGCATTTCTTTTGCCTGTTTATAGGCATTTCAAAGCATGACATAGTTTAGCGATGATGTGAGTTATGGTTTTTATCATGTATTTTATGCCGTTAGTTTGATTTAGTTATATTTACCGTGGAAATACCATGTGCTGGTGAATCATGTGCCCCTGAGCTACTGGAGATCTGTTTTCAATTGCGCGCCAGTCTCTTTACTCCCTTGTATAATTGGATCCATCCAGGAAAAGTTATTGATCTATTCAGTTTGACATATTTGACATATTTAAGTTTTACACATGTAACATTATTGAAATTACTTAAAATACTTGTCTTATACAATTAAGCAGATTTAATAGGTATTTAATATGTAATATGCATTAGTTAGTTAGTGTAGCCTACTTTATTAGAAAGGAGACAAAGGAAGTATTGGTCGTGAAGAAAACAAAGTAAAAGGTAAATATCTCTTGGGCATAGAATAGTTATATTTGTCATTTCCAAGCAAGTTGTTTTGTCAAATTATGCATATTTGAGATTCTAGAAAAAAATGTGTATTTAAGATTCTAAAAAAATTCTAGCTATGAATTTCCTATAGGATGAAAAAGGAGCCATTTTATCCCAAAATTTAAATTCCATCACCTCATTTCCACAATACAATACATAATTAAAGTCATAAAATGAAAGAATTATTTTGGGATACATGTATTCCCAGTGTGGGACATTGTTAATAGAAAAATTAAGTAAACTAACAAACAAGAAAACTGTGTTCTCAAAGAGTTTATTTTTTTAAAGTCTACTGGACCAAAAGTGGCCATATTTAAAGGGAATATTCATGAATCACCCTGATATGAATGTAAAGGCCGACATTTTTACCTGGATTAAAAAGATTGTATTATGACTTGATATTCAAATGAAGGCAATTCAAAGATCCAGTCCAGTCCACGAACTGACAGTATAGAAGGCCATGTGTTTGGGTAAGGGTCTGTACTCGCTCATAGCCAGTGGAGAGGGTGCTCAAGACTTACATTCCTCTGTGACCCACAGGCACCAGAGTGACTTGTCTGTTAAGCTGTTGTTATATTAGTGAAATCCCATCACCGCACCAGTGAGGGGCAGTTATATCATCAACACAATTATCTGTGCAATGCCATACTATATACAAAGGGTTTAAACACTTCTGTCTACAAACATTATGAGTTGAACCTCATGTCAATCAAACATAAAGTCAGCGGGTGGCTCAGTAAAATGTTTTACTGCTTCCTCTAAAGTCAATATGCCAGCTATTGCAGGATGGCTACAGCTCATGCTGTTCAAAATATCAAAATAGGTTCATGCGCATGAAAGTATTGAGTTTAGATATATATGTTTATGTGATGGATGAGATGTCTGTGTCAAATGCAGTTATTGTTAGTTTTTCCTACTCACTCATTCTATAACAGTGGGTCCCCCAGTGTGTGTTGGATACATGCACAGACATTTAATCTGTGGGTGAATAATCTCAAGAAAACATATCCGAGACACATTTTTTTCTGAAATCAATAGAAAAGGTACATATTTTTTTTTTTATAAAGAAAACTATTAAAGCTTATTTCTAGGACCATTCAGATGTTTTGGATTATTTGTATAACATGATAATCATTACCGTAATGCTTCTGAATGCTTTTTTTTTTTTTTGTAATAACCAATATTCATGATGGTGATTCTAATTATTAGATTCTTGTTACTGTACACTGCAAAACATGCTTTTTTCAAAGTTCTAAATAAATATTACTGGAGTACATTTTACAAGAAAATACTGTTTTAATTATGTATTTGTGAAATTTTATAGCAACAAAGTACATTTCTTTTAGTGCAGTATTTTATTTTTTTTTGCATTACGGTAATGATAAAGTTGTTTTTTGCATTACGGTAATGAGAAGTGGTGATGGGGGTTAGTCACCTTGCTTAAAAATGATGTCACATGGCAGAAAATCTTCATGGTCCTAAAAATAGGCTTAATAGTCCTTAACCAGTATACACATTTGGGGTGAAATTTGACCAGAAGTAAAATTACAGTAAATGCCTCTTGTGAACAGAATAGTTTTAGTTGCACGTCATTTCCAATCAATTTGTCATTTAATGATGTCCAATTGTTGGAAATTCAAGAAAACATGTCCAAGACACATTTTGCTTTTTTTTGTGACATGATCATTACCATAATGCTTCTGAACATTTTACTTTTAGAGGGTTTTTTGGAGAATAGTTATTTACTGTAAACCGTAAAAAATGTTTTTTTAAGTTGTAAAAAAAAAGATAACTGCAGTATGTATTATTATTTCAGTCTTTCTGCTTCAAAATTAAACATTTAATCCAATGTGCATTACTTTGTAATTATTTGCTACATTTACTAGTAAAAAAGAAGTCCTACTCATTTGTTTTAGTGTACAGTCATTTTTTTACAGTGCAGTAATGACAAATTACATTTTTGCATTACGGTAATGAGAACTAGGGGTAGGAGTGTGCTTAACATGTTCTGTGTGAACACATGATAGTGCTCAAATCAAAACATACTGACATTCACACAACAGTAACCACATGTTTTTCAGTATTTTTCAAACCTTCCCCTCTTTGTTTCTGTTCCCTGCCGCAGAGCCGCACATGGAGCTGTGTCAGTGGTGGCGACACATTGTTGTCTTCCTACTTCATGCTTGGATTCCATCATGCTTTGCCCAAACCACACCGCCAGTGCGCTCGAGCCCCACACCGACCCCTCAGACAGCAGAAGGCCCGGAGACTCTGAAGTTCCGTCTGTCTGGCTTCCCCAGGAAACACAACGAGGGCCGAATTGAAGTGTTTTATAAAGGCGAATGGGGAACCATCTGTGATGATGACTTCTCACTGGCCAATGCCCATGTCCTCTGTCGCCAGCTGGGCTTCGTGTCTGCCACGGGCTGGACTCACAGCGCCAAGTATGGCAAGGGCACAGGTAACGTTCCTGCACGCATTCGCACACTCAATCAGAGCAGATATAAAGCAGTTTCTGTATGTGCTCAGAGAGTTTGTGTCTGTTGCAGGTAAGATTTGGCTTGACAATGTGCAGTGCAGTGGCAGTGAGAGGAGCGTGTCAGTGTGTAAATCTCGTGGCTGGGGTAACAGTGACTGCACTCATGATGAGGACGCTGGAGTGATCTGTAAAGATGAGAGACTGCTGGGATACGTGGACTCCAATGTTATAGAGGTAAAGGACCCTACACAGACACAATTAAAATGAAAAATTCAAATCTAACTGCCGTTGACAGAAAATATGAGAGAAAATATTTTACAAAATGTATTTTAACTGTACTTAATATATTTTTGTCTATTTCTAAATTTATTTAAATTTTTCTTTTGTTTGGCCAGTGTTGTCTATAGCTTCTTTGCTAGTTTACCTTTACTACTACCACTTTGTAACAATATTATTATTAAGTGTTATACAAATATATTTCAATTTAATTTAAAATAAGTTTCTCTTATATTGTACAGTAAGTATTGTTTAGTGCAAATAAGTGGATTAATCACAGAAACCTGTGTGCCTAACATTGTTAATATATTCATGGCCCTAACTCAGATAGTACAAAAAAGAAATGTTGCTAATTTAACACCTAGTAAATATTTTCCAAAAAATAATTTAAAAACAACATGTTGTCTTTATAATAGAATACTTGTATTTCTAAGTGTGGGAAATGGAGTTAAATACAATAACTTTTAACACAGTGGTATTTTAGCATACTTTTAATATTATTGTAGTTTTTTATTAATATTTTTAATTATGTTCTTTTTTCAGTTTTCATTTTAGTTAAATTTTTTAGTAATTTTATTATTTGTTATGGAATTTTTTTATTTTGTGATTTTTATTACCTTTTTTAAAATATTACTCTTAAGTGTAATTTAGTTTTAGTCCAGTTAATTTTTAGTTATTTCTAGTTGTCCAGTAAACTTAAACTAAGTTAGTTTGACAAGGCAACATTACAAATTTTTTAGTTTAGTTTAAAGGGGTCATATGATGCGATTTCAATTTTTCCTTTCTCTTTGGAGTGTTACAAGCTCTTGGTGCATAAAGAAGATCTGTAAAGTTGCAAAGACTAAAGTCTCAAATCCAAAGAGATATTCTTTATAAAACTTAAGAGTCAACCACGCCTACCTAAAACGGCTCGTTCTAACACGCCCCCACATGTCTACGTCACGATGTGGGAAGATTTGCATAACACCGCCCAAATGTTCACGTAAAGAAAGAAGGCGTAACTTTGATTCTCGCTGTAGTATTGTTGCTGCTGCAATGTCGTGAAGACGCTGTGTGCTTCATTGTGAAATCGAAACTACTTTGTTTGGCCTTCCAAAAGAGGACGATATCCGCTTCGTCATGCCTAGAG